TTCCAGTTATTTCACATTATATTATTGATTTTGAGAGCATTTGAACAATAATCCTGATAAGTATACACTTCTACGATGATATTCTTTTAAACTGATATGAAACAAATGAGAAAGCTCATGAACTATATTTTCATTGCTACCCAAACTCAACTCTCTCTCTCTCTCTCTCTCTTTAACAGACGGTCACGAGCCGAAACGTTGAGAAGCATTTGTGTGGTTCTTGGGGCCTACACGAGTCACATCTCGTGAACCAATATAAACACGCACTTGTTTATACTGCGGCACAAAGCTTGGCTTGGCTTTCCTTACCAGGCACTCAAGTCATCCTGTGATGATTCTTAGTTCAGTGAGGATAGTTCAGTGAAGATAGATCGCGATCGGACATTCGCTTCAGCAACAATGGCTCCAAGCTTTATTGCGTCAGAGATATAGGATTGGGGTTAAGGTTGCAATAATATTTTAGATTAGCTTTAGGGTAAGGGTTGAAATAAGATGTTAATTTAGATCAAGGGTTAGGGTAAGGGTTGAAATAAGATGTTAATTTAGATCAAGGGTTAGGGTAAGGGTTGAAATAAGATGTTAATTTAGATCAAGGGTTAGGGTAAGGGTTAAATAAGATTTTAGGTTTAGGGTTAGGGTAAGGGTTGCAATAAGATGTTAGATTAGGCTTAGCCCTGGGTTAGGATTAGGATTAGATTAAGTGTCTGGCTCAGGGTTGAAGTTATAAATTGAATAATGCAGGGAATTTACCACAGAGCGATTGCCAGTGGAGCATGTATCGTAAAACCCATTTTACGAGTCCATCTGCCTCTCATGTCATGTCAAAGTGGACAGCAAAGCTATGATTTGTATTCCTCAGACAAGCAGGACCCTACTCCAAGCATTGGCTAGCCTAATGGCTATAAATACTAACAAACATATCTAGAGCCTTTAACATAGTGTTAACGACCTTGTGGCTCCAAACAAACTATTCATCATCAAAGAGAAAGAAGCTAAGAGACGGATGAAGGAAGAATGATGATGGACATTAAGCATGGACGGACACACTATGATTTATGTTCCTGGAAATACTTTGGATGACTTCAGATCTTCTATAGATAGCAAGTGTTAAGAGCCAGTAAAGCATCATGTCATCACACAGGATATGAGTTTATGTCTTTCAAGCTCTTTGCAGATTAACATTTTATATCACAGAGAAACAAGCAGAGCAATGAGTATTTAATGATAAAAGAAATTAAGCACATTTGTGTCATGATAAGCAGGATAGAATTTTGATATTTACAGATTTTCTTTCAATCTATGCATTTCAAAATATGAGTCGATGCCCTTCTGGCTCTCAGCAGAATACTGTTCATTTTCAAAGAAAAACAAAACATAGGGAAAGGAAGAAAGAGAGAGAGAGAAAGATAGAGAGAGAGAGAGGGGGGGGGGGGGGGGGTTCACTGATTAAAGAAAGCACATCAATATAATAAGCAAATCAGAATTGTAATGTTTTTCAGATCTTCTTTAGATAGTGAAGCCAGAAGGCCATTAAAGAGTGTCATTACAGAATGTGACTTTATGTCCTTCTGGCTCTCAGCAGGATATTATTCGCTGTCAAAGAGAGGACAAGCAGAGGGAGAGGAGGGAGAAGAGGGAGAGGGAGAGGGAAAGAGAGAGAGAGAGAGAGAGAGAGAGAGAGAGAGAGAGAGTGTGCCCTTCATAAAAGAAAGTAATCAAAGCAAGAAATTATTTTTTGTGTCTGGTAAATAGAAAGCATATATTGGGTTTGTTCACATCTTCTCTAGATAGTGAATATTGAGAGCCAGAAGGTCGTTAACCCTGCATTACAGAATGTGAGTTAATGCCCTTCTGGCTCTTAGCAAATTAATATTCATCATCAACAAGAAACCAACAGAAGAAGAGAGAAAAAAAAAGCTAGAAAAGGATAGGTGGTGCTAATAAACAGAAAGTAAATGAATGTTTTCATATCTTCTTCAGATAGCCCTGTATAACAGATTGAGAGTCAATGCCCTTCTGCCTCTCAGCACATTACTTAGTGTAGAAAGAGAGAGAGAGAGACAGACAGACAGAGATAGAGAGATAGAGATAGAGAGACAGACAGAGAGAGAGACATAGAGAGAGAGAAAAGGAAATGAGAGTGAGAGACAGAGATAGAGAGACAGAGATAGAGAAACAGAGAGAGAGAGAGATATAGAGAGACAGACAGAGAGAGAGAGAGAGAGAGACAGCGATAGAGACAGACAGAGATATATATAGAGAGAGACAGAGATAGAGAGACATAGACAGAGAGAGACAGAAAGAAAGAGAGAGAGAGATCTTGATGGATGAAGATGAAAATATGAAGAAAATGATTTGTTTCAAAACAAAGTAGGAATGGATTTGGAATGTTTCAGATCTTCTTCTGCGCTGCATTCCAGAATATGATTTAATGCCCCTCAGGCTCTCAGCAGACAATAGATTAATAAACATTATATCTGTCAGCAACCAGCAACTATTGAGAACCTGAACCTCTGTTTCTGTTTGTATTGCACATATTAGTTTATGCAAGTGAAAGAATTAATAATTTAAAGTTTCCTTGAAATTGATTTCCTTGTGAATAATAAATGCTATGAACAATGGCTAGGCTGAATCCATTAACTCAGTCACACCAACGAACTGACTCCACACCGACCAATTTATACCATTCATGGTAATGTATTGTTCGTTCAGTCTGTCCTAGGTCTGGTGTCGGTTCATTGATGTGACAGAGATATTTATTATTCATCTCTGAATTACCCTCATGGGATTGAAAAATAACTTATTTATATGTGCATGTTGGTGTGTTTCAACACAGACTGTTTGAATATATATTATTTACACCTGAACATGATTTATTGGGGTACGTAGGGAGAGGTACGCATGCATTCAGAGAGCGGCTGCATGCAATAAATTGTTTCTTGGCTGAAATTAGGCCCTCGTGAGCAATTCTTATTGAAATTTTGTTTTCTTGTTTAATCCAGAGAGGAAAAACTTTCATTTACAGAGTTGTTTTTCAAGACTGAACAATCTAATCTACTTGTGAACGTATCAATAATTCTGCACCCCTGATTAGCTCATCAAAATAGAGAAAAAGTTATTTAGAAAGTTATGAGTTACCAAATTTTACTTTTTTCAAAAGATATACATCGAGGGAGTTATTGTGTAACTTATAGTCTTTACTTGGTAAATGTAGGTAGAATTAATGGTTTGAAACAAACATAATAAAAATGAGAAATAGCGAGCAATATATCTTGAGGGTCGTGAAAGAGCTATGATTTGTCACACTCCCTTTCATCTGCATAGAGAAATAAAACTATGATTGCTTCTGCCTTAATCACAGTCATAAATCATATCCCTCAATTAGATCAAGTGTAGAAGAGCCCTTGATATGTCAAGTGTAACCCTCACCAATGAAATAGAATACACTTCAAGTGCTCCAGCTGTCTATGTCAATCTGTGTTTGATAAGAGACAGCTTTTGCCCAGTTCATAAAGTCGTAAATTATTTTTACGAGCTCATTAGGTAATGGCAATGATTTGGAGGAAAATATAAACAAATTTTGAAAACTAACAGATATTGTAGATTGAGATCAAGTAAAAAAAATGTCCCAAAGTCATAAATTATTTTTACTAGTCCATTGCTGTATTTCATATGTATGTTAGAAATAGAGATAGAAGCTTCATTTGATCCAACGAGAAACGCATGTGTTGAGTGCCCAAGGTTTTCATTTTATTCCATTTTAAAAGAAGTGAGTTATGGCGTCTGCTTCTTAGCAGACAAAGCCTTGATGTGATTATTCAATGTGACAGTGATTATTTAATATGACAGTGATTATTTAATATGACAGTGATTATTTAATGTGATTGTGATTATTTAATGTGACAGTGATTATTTAATATGACAGTGATTATTTAATGTGACAGTGATTATTTAATATGACAGTGATTATTTAATGTGACGGTGATTATTTAATGTGATTGTGATTATTTAATGTGACAGTGATTATTTAATATGACAGTGATTATTTAATGTGACGGTGATTATTTAATGTGATTGTGATTATTTAATGTGACAGTGATTATTTAATGTGACAGTGATTATTTAATGTGACAGTAATAAATGTTGATGGCACTCAAACTCTTCAAATTGAGTTTCAATCTCATCCAGTGCATTGAAAACTGTCTGTTGGTTTGCTGATCCGGTGATGATTAAAAACCCAACATAAATGCAGCTTTTGTTATCACTATCGAAAGCCCTTTAGAAGCGATGGAACGTAATGTGATATGCAGTATACGAGAACTGAATCATTTTACTATGCATAGTTTTGCATGCTTATGAAACCTCAAACAAATTTGTGGTTTCCTTCGCAGGAGCAATAACCGCCTGTTTAATTAAGTGTCAATTGCCCAGCCTCCTAATTATAGACGGTTATTGTTAGAGCAGAGAGCTACATGTTGAGTTTTCTGCCTGCTCGTGGCTTAAAGGAGAGGGTTAGAATTTAATATCTAACAAGTCAACATGCTAATTAGAATAGTCAAACATATTTCAAAGGACTGAAAAACATTGGCGAAGAGGCATGAATAAATTTAAAGTATATCGAGTCAAAATACTAATTAGAATAATAACAACTTTTTGTCAAAGGACTGCAAAAAATTGGCAAGTGTAATTAAAAAATCATAATGCATGAAGAGAACAAAACATGCATCTACCATACTTCATTTTGTCTCCTGCCTTATATTGAAAATAAACTTCACTGGCAGCAGAGGTGTTATGGTAAAGACTTGACATAATAAACTGTAAAAAATTCCTTACCCTATTATATATTACAATAAAAATCATGTTAAGATTACACAAGATGTCTTTGTAATATTTACAAATTTACATAAGTGATAAACAGCTATTGTAATTGCCTTTAACACTGATCCCTACTTGTAGAACTAAAAAAGAAGAAACAAATTATGGCCACAGATAATACTCACGAGGGTTCTGATCGCCTTGGACTCTGCGAGTAGCTTGCTATCTTGCTATACCTTGCTTTGTCACTGGAAGCCATATTTTACTCCAGAGTGGCCTTCACTAATCCACACACTGGCAATAGGATATGTTTATAAGGGTATATTCCTCTATATTCCTCCTATACCCTGGCTCTTGTTAGAGGTTCAATGCAAAGGTAGTTGGATCAACATCACATCGATCATTCTCCTGCAAAATATTTTCCCAATGAACACTACTCTGTATCTAATAAAACATGTGTTGTCTGAATATCGCTTGATCAGCATATGAAATTCAATACAAACTTTCTCCAGTATAATTCTGCTGCATAATATGTTGCTTGATGATTAGTTTCCTTAAAATCAACAACGTTGTTCTAATTGGAGGATTGATGAAAAGGTCCTTTGATCAAAATTAATCCCTATACCGAAATTGTTTTCTCACGAGTGAAACGCTGTCTCTCGTAAATACTAGAATAGAGTTTGCACTTTATGAGCATGTGAAAGGCAATATAGATTTCTCCAATAGAAATCTGCTGCAAATGTTGATCAATTGATTAAAATTTGTATAAAATTGAAAAGTTTATCACAGCAAGCGGTTTCTCCTCTCTAAAATTGGCAATATTATGTGAACGCTGTAATATAATACAAAGAAATGTATATACAGCTGAATCACGGTGCAGTGTATACAGGTTGAAATCACAGAGAAGTATCTCTTTACAGAGTGGCAATTCATTGGCTATCTAATTGCTGTGCACACAATCTGAACGCAGTTGACACAATTCATCACAAGGACTGACGTCTGTGATGTATGGCAGTTCAGCCAAATGCCTTTACAATCTTTCCCAAGCACAGCAAATCAAAATATTCCAAATCGTCACGAGATGGTTTACATAAATGAAGATTTATATCCCTTATTCATTCATCCATATGCTGACTTCGCCATTCATCTTCTCACGTTGTGACACAGAATTCTCTGAACCAATAATAACATCATAGTCAGAGGGGCTCACTTCTGAGACATATCAGTGACAGAAAACTGCCACATTATTGGCAGAATGATTATGCACAACACGATCAGCTGTGAATACCTGCACCCCAAGTTTAAAAGAAAAATCCAGCCTGAAGTTTTCTCTCTCTGAATACATGCATGTCCACTTCAATACCTCTTCTATTCCACATTATTGGCAGAATGATTATGCACAACACGACCAGCTGTGAATACCTGCACCCCAAGTTTAAAAGAAAAATCCAGCCTGAAGTTTTCTCTCTCTGAATACATGCATGTCCACTTCAATACCTCTTCTATTCCACATTATTGGCAGAATGATTATGCACAACACGACCAGCTGTGAATACCTGCACCCCAAGTTTAAAAGAAAAATCCAGCCTGAAGTTTTCTCTCTCTGAATACATGCATGTCCACTTCAATACCTCTTCTATTCCTCATGCGTTAGGAAAGCAATCCGCTGAGGCATCGGTCCAGAAGCTGAGCTCCAAACAGACATTTGATTGAAAATGGTCGCAAGTTTCATTGGTATGAGCAGCTGGATTTGAATCATAGTACAGTGAAACTTGTCTATAAAGGCCACCCAAGGAAACAGAAAACTGGCCAGTGTGGACAGAAAACCTTTCCAGACACGGTCTACAACACAGGATTCTTCCTAGGGAGGCGGCAATATAGGCGACCACTATAGACAGGTGACCATTATGGACAGGTGGCAGCTACGACAGGTTGATAAAGCAGTAATCAAAGAAGGCTGGGCTTCTAATGCTGTACATCTGATCGAGGTTTGCCGTGCAATCCTCTGGCGCTTGTCATGTTGTGATCTGTTTCAATGCCCCACATCTCTAAAGACATTGATGCTTGTATGAAACAAACTTGCATTCAGCTCACTGTAGTTTATGATAATAATAATAATAATATTCTGGGTTTATAATATAGCACTTAATACTATCTCGATGCACTTTAGGTAAAAGCATCCACGGCCAGACAACGCAAGGTCAGCTCAAAACAAAGAAGAGTAGGTCGTAAAGATGCCTGTAAAATCCCAAGGTTCATCTCAAATTGAAGATCATGGCAATTCATAAATAAGTAAAACAATAGCTCGACAACCTTCCCCAATGTCTGTTAAATAGGAGGTTTTGCTCAAATTGAGGACATTGATATGCCTCATAAACAAGCGTAATACCAGTAGAATATGAGCTTCAGCTAAAAATACAGATGAGAAGCTCATAAACAAGTAATGAGCCTGAAAGTCAGAGTGTAAATCCTGCAGAATTCATTTGAAAACATTAATCATTGAACAGCAGTCAGAAATCGGTCGTTTATATCCACATCCATACATCAGAAATAGTATTAATGGCACAATATGTTATCTGACAGTGGGATGCACAGATAGATAATGATAAAACGTTGAATGGCCACTGCTGAGGTCATCGGCTTGAGGTTTGGAATGTCCTTGGTCATATCACTGTGATAAGTAGTAACAGAACACACGCTCGATGACAGCAGCCATGTTATTCACCGAGACCCAATCAGACTCTCTCAGAACGTTGTGATAAGTAGTAACCCAACACATGCCAGGTCGTAGCAACTTGCAATATTATCAATCGAGAGCATAACACTCTTCTTGGAGGGCCTACTAAGTAGCCAAATGTCCTGAGAAGCATGAGTGATTCTACACCGTGCAGTGGACGTCGTCATAAATTGAGGGCACGCTGGGAGACGTCGTGCTGTGAACTGCGCAAGGGCAAGTGTGTAGGGACGTGTGTATGTGTGTGTGTGCTTGAGAGAGAGAGAAAGAGAGAGAAAGAGAAAGAGAGAGGGGGTGGGGGAAGAATGAGAGAGAGAGAGAAATAGTGAGAGAGAGAGAAATAGTGAGAGAGAGAGAAAGAGAGAGAGAGAAAGAAAGAGAGAGAGAGAGAGAGGAGAGTGAGAGAGAGAGGAGAGTGTGAGAGATAAGGGAGAGAGAGAAGGGAGAGAGAGAGAGAGAGAGGAGAGTGTGAGAGATAAGGGAGAGAGAGAAGAGAGAAGAGAGAAGAGAGAAGAGAGAAGAGAGAAGAGAGCAGAGAGAAGAGAGAAGAGAGCAGAGAGGAGAGAGAAGGGAGAATGTGGCCAAGATGTTTATGAGAAAGATATAAAGGAAGATAGAAAGAGGGTGTTGGGGGCAGAGAGAGAGAGAGAAAGAGAGTGAGAGAAGAATAAAGATAGAAAGAGAACATGATTAGCATCAGCATCAGATTAGTGACAGAAAGAAGTACAGAAGGAAGGAGTTCACATCTAACCATGATAGTGTATCATAACTTAAATATGGCGCATGTTCATTTATTGCTGTTAACATCACGGGTGATGTACAAACCAGATGCTGGGAAATTGTGATTAATCTAACATTATATGATAGGGAAAATAACCTTGCTTAAAGGCATGGTAATTTATTGTGCTGTCATGTTTTTTCAAATTGAGCCATCTTCCATAAGCATAATCAGACGGGCAGTCATGTAGTTGGTGATGCATTGTGGGACATGGCTGTTGACACATTGCGAGTAGCAGATGGCAGTATAAATAAATTTAGGTAGTGTCAATACCTGCCTGTTAAGGAGTTTTTTAACAGCCTCTTAAAAGCAGAACTTCACAACATACATGAAGTGCTTCAGAATTTGTTTTCTTTTGCAATGATTTGATATAAATATTAATATTTATTCCCACTGCTAGATAAATTATGCAATTTAATGTATATGTGCATTTATAACTTATAAGAAGGATTTATTGATCCATGTAATGTTTGTACACAGGGTTTAATGTGTGATGGCGTATTGTTGTGAAATGAATTTTATGTTCATGTATGCCCAACATATGCTCGTTTTCTATGAGGAAACCATTGGTACAACAATCATATTCCACCTCATTTACTGTCATTTTAAATAATCAACAAATAATCCTTAATAGTTTCATCTTTGATGATTTATCATCTATTATTAAAGGATATTAGATGTCAGAACATAAGCCACTGATCATCTGTCATTAGTTGACATACGAAGGTTATGAATAAAACATTAAGCTTTCCGCCCAAGAGCTTATTCCCAAAGGCTCTTAACAATTCTAAAGCACTCAACAATATGAGGAGAAGGGAAAAAGGGGGCCTGAAAGTGGCTTTTCAGATACTGTTTAAGAGACATAAACATGTACATATGAAACTAAAACAGCAAATCTCTTGACGTTTCTGAGGGAAAGTTGGAAAAGGAGTCAGGAGAACAAGTATTTTTACAAGAGACATAGATGGATATATAAAGAACATGATCAAAGAACTTGACAGTATTGGGTCACATGATATGTTTTCAGAGACATACGAAGGGAAAGACCAACATTAAAACTGATGATTAAGAAGGAAATATAGAAAAGGGAAGGAGAGAGAGAGAGAGAGTAAAAGACGAGGGGGGGGGGGAAGAGAAACTCGAATTACCTTGAATTCTTTTGCCGATTTAGGTTAAATAATAATAATAAACTCTATTTCACAGAAAAGAATATAATAGGATTGGAAAAAATCTTCATTCCATGGAAAAAGGAACATGATCATATTACCACTTAAAGGATAAAGAAGAGCAAAACAAGTAAATTTAGACAGAAGAGAGAAGAAAGATGAAACTGATTTAAAAATGAAAGTGCTTCAAATAGTACTTTTGCTTTCAGGGTAAAATGAAAGTGTACTAAGTGGGAGGTAGAAAGGATTTTTGGAAATTGATAAAGTGGAATAGAATCTGAGAGCAGCTGTAGAGAACAAGACGGAGTGAGAATGATGAGAGAGAAAGAGGGGAAGAGGAGGGGGGGGGGATGAGGAGATTTTACTGTTCTCTTCAACCACAGAAATGGACAACATCTAAGAAAGGGTGGGATGTAAGGAACAAGATGGGAACATGTATATGTTGGGAGCTTTTTTTCCATCAGGATAACCGCAGGGTTGACTTGTTGTCCAAGCTAGAACTAGAGTGCAGCACAGGGTTGTTTTTAAATGAAGAGAGAGAGAGAGAGAGAGAGAGAGAGAGAGAGAGAGAGAGGGAGAGAGGGAGGGAGAGATATAAACAGACAGAGACTAAATGACCAGATCGAGAGAGAAAGAGAGAGAGAGGGGGGGGGGGGGAAGAAACCATGGTAGTTGGATAGTAAGAGAAAAGGAGAGATAGAGAGAGAGAAAAGGAGAGAGAAAAGGATGGAGAGAAAGGGATAGAGAGAGTAAAGATTGGGGAATATTTATAGAAAGGTTGTTCAGAGCTATCTTTTTGATGACATTCAAAGAGTGAGGAGAGAAAGAGAGGGAGCGAGATAGAACAAGAGAGGATGAGACAGAGAAAGAGAAAGAGAGAGAGAGAGGAACTCATGCAATCCCCTCAGGCTTAACTGATTGTCCACGGCTGAAAAGGGAGGGACAACATCCGTTGCCTGGCACCACTGATTTCTTGCATCACCGAAGACATCAATAGAATTCAATTACTGGTCATCCTAGAGGCTAATCATCAAACAAGCCATTTAAAGAGGACAGCAAAATAAATAATTCAGATCTTGATGAGCCCTTATTGCTTTTTACCTTCATCTATTCCCAGGTCACATATTTGTGCACAAGTTTTGTTTGAATAATGAGGTAAAATAGAAAGGAGCAACTAACTTTAGAAACATCATCCTTGTTTTGTCTTGATATGTTTTGTTTATGGAATTAGTACACAGTTCTTATGGTAGTTAGGTCTAGCCTGATGAAATAAAAAAGAATGTTGCTCAATCCCCTTCTGGCAAT